TTGTGTGTGTATGAGTGAGCAACCATATATGAGCGAGACGAGAGAGAAAGAGAAAAGATTATATTGTCAAAAGGCCGGAATAATTTCGAGCGTTTCGAGAAGGTGGACGCGAAAATCGTATCCGGACAACGTCAATTACTTACGTAGACGAAATGAAATTTATCGATACGCCCGTGCCTCGTATCGTTTGGACAATCTATAATTCTTGAGTTCCGTTTGTCTCGAGGCAACGTTTCAGCTTACATTCACAATCACGCTAATTACTTGCGATGTAAAAAAAGTCTAATTTAAAAAATGTATATATACATAGATGAATGTAAACGTTCTTTTCTCGAACAGCTCGACCATTATTCTCCCGATAGGTCAACGTGTTCATTTTGTAATATCTAACAAGAGTAACAAGTAGGACGGTCAATCACGCATGCGAAATAGAAATCGTTTTTTTTTTTTAAGAACGTAATTGAAGGCAAATCGGAGAAAAATGCAAGAGAGAGACGATAGCGAGAAAAAAGGAAGGGATCTTTGTTATATAAACCTTAACGTATATACCGTAAACAACACACAACTGCCTAGAAACTCAGATTAATAATAATATATATATTATACTTATTACATTATATACAATTAATTTAAAAAAATGACATGTCTAAGCGCACAACAACGAGCGAGTTTGGCAGAACAAGAGACGTGCGTGTAGATAGAATATATTCAACCGAAGTGTACGTACAAGGTGTCCCACCGGAACATATTTCAATAACAGATGTTAAATGTCGTTAAATGTGGTTGAATTACAAGCGAAAATATATAATTAATGAAGAGCGAAGCTTCAAGATGACAGGCGGAGAATAAAATCATATATTGTTAGAAAAAATTCAGGCCGGTTTTACTTTGATAAAGTTCGGATTGTCGCATTATCTTCGCGGAAATTTAAGAAAATGTGCGACATGATGGTCTTCCGTAAAATTCTTCCGAAAGAAATATCAAGTCTGCGTGAGTGTAACAAGGCCGTCATCGAAATACGTACTGGTAGTTTCGAAATGCACCGTATAGGAGACAGAGAAGAAGCGAGAGGAGACAGTTCGCGACTGTACTCGAGAGACCATAACGCGGCACGTTTCTGACCGTAGCTACGATTTTTCACTTCGTCTGGCGAGAATAAATGCACTCCCCGACCATTTACCGCGAAACAAGTTTTGCGGTCGAACGTCGATACATCGAGCGATGCGAGCGAAGACAAACGTCGACCAAGTCTCTGGCCGGGTAGCCGATTGCCGCCCGTTATCCCGGGCGAAGTTGCCAGTTTTGAAAAGTTAAACGCGTCCCGCGGGGAACCCGCACTGCGCTTCTCGGCGCGTCAATAATGCAGGTGCAAGAAAAATCAGTTGCCACGACGCTAGCTCGTCAAGCGCGTCTTTTTTATTTTATTTTTCGCAGAGACTCGTTGACACCCCAGGGACTTCTTTCGCTAGCCAAGCTCAGCCCTGAGTCGCTTTATTCGAGTAAAATAGTAATTTCAATTCGCGAGAGATATATATCTATTTATTGACTCTCGACGTCGAGAATCCCGAGGCGAAGTATAACGCCAATCGTCATCGACGTAAACGAGTCGAGTCGACGTCGAGTAGTCGTGCAAGTTGGTCCAAAAGGGGATAGCTGTAAATTTCCGCGACAAACTTCGGCGGAGATGCGACGTGAAACTTTCGCCCGCTCGCATTTTCGATTTATCGCTTTGTCGAACGCTCGAGACGAATCCTAGATATAAAGAAGTGACGATCGCGAGTTGGAGCACTTTAGAAACACCGTTCTGAAGGGCATCGCCGTTTTATCGCTGCGAGAACTCGGGGATGAGAAAGCGGAATGGAAGGCGTTTAAAGAGAAATTTCATTATCAACAAATACAAGTACAATCAGCAGGATGCCTCGAGCTGTTCGATGACTATGTACAGCGTGTAAAAGTTTTTAGAAAAATTTAACTATGTGTGGCGGGATGAGAAAAAAGAGAAAAAGAGAGAGTGTGCGTGTGAGAGAGAAAGCGAGAGAGATTTGCGAAACCTGTACGATGAAAATATATTGCAATGATTAATGCATGGCCAGATATTAAAAACGCTATGAAAATGAGAAGATGATAGAGAAAGTTTTAATAAATTAATTCTTAATGCTATAAAAAAAGACAAGAGACACTATTGATACCTACTACCTAAGAAACATAGTATATATATATATATAAATATATGATAATATACACACATTTACACAATCAGAGAGAGAGAAAGGGAGAGAAAGAGAAAGAAAGAGAATAAAAAAGTGAAAAAACGAGAAACGTAAACACATGTACATGGCATCCTATGAACGTAACTATAAATATATACCGATATGTGCGTAATTACATTAATATCTATGAAAATTAGGCATCGATGTACTTGCGGACGTAAAACGTGCATGAGATTAACTCACTTGCTATTACCTTATATGAGAACAGATAAATATATACTATATTCATGGGATATCCCAAAATGCTACCGCCATTTCCTTCATTTACGAATTGTTTGATTAATTTTCAGCCCAGCTTCTTCTAATTCTTTTATCTTTATAATACTGGACACAATTCAGAGTATTTATAGATATTTGCTCGCAATTAAATAAAGACTATTAAAATAACACTCGCATAAAACAGATCGAAAAGCAAAGTTTCGTTAAGCATTAACAAGGAAAGTTTTCAGCCGCTTATAATTCGAAAACTACTGACGCCTCGACATTTTCATTAATTGCCGAAATCCAAATTGATCAAAGAATTCTTAGAGAAAAAAACTGGCGATAGTTCTGGAATATTCTGTATGTAACAAGAGAAAGAGAGAGAGAGGAAAAAGTATGAATGTATGTAAAAGAATGCGTGTATGAAGAGACCTGTGCAAGAGAATGCAAAGAGAGTAGGAATTAATTAATCGAGAATTTTTTAAAGAAAGTCGAGCCGCGTTTTTCGAGCGCACGCTCGTCGGCTTCGACGAACTTAGGAAAATATTTACAAATGATACATTCACTTGAGAGAAGTTTTAGTTAGAGAGTGAGAGAGGTAAATTTAGATCGTGTATAAACTAATTTTAGGAATTTTGGTTGGTTTGATGTTAGAATTGACCCGGGAAAACGTCGAGTCGATCGTCGTAGAAGCGCGTGAACTGCGGCAATAAAATCGAATCGTATCACTAATGAGGTCGTGTCCGCGTATAATTATGGTCAGACTCTTATCGCGACGACAGTTTGCAAAACGATTTTTCCCTTGAACTTGCTCACTGGCTTGTCGAAGTGTATAGCATAACTCGCCCTTCGCGATTAAGCGGCTTTACATTAATTAGACGCGCTTGCTCTGCTATGAAACTCAAATTTTACGATACTGTACCGCATAAGCTATTGTAGCAATGAGTCAGCAACATTTATACGCTCGATTTCTTATTATTAATAGATGATTGTTGAATTTTTAGCATACACGTGTATAAGTAAAGAAGTAAAAGAGATTGTTACGAGTGAAAAAGAAAAGTAAACGTAAAAAAAATATATATTTAAAGAGACATCTCTCAAAAGTAAAGTTTGCAAATATCATGGATTTACGCGCCATTTTATGGCGTATGAGCCAAGTTATTAAAATAATTAGGTAATCTTGCAAACTTTGGCCGATAAATGCGAGAAGTGATAATCCGCGACCTCGATGAAGACGAGAGATTCGATTTTATGTGTCGATTATTAAAAAAAAAAAATTGTTACTTCGCGCAACGAAGCGTGTTTCGCGAAAAGCGAACGAAGACGATCGCAACGGCGACGATTTTATCTACGTTAATCTAGAAGACATTGCTGGAACAATGATTTGTACGCCTTCTATGAAGGACCCTAGAGTACATTATGTTACCTAATACTCGTAAGCACACATTATCTAATAAATATTATTTACAAAATCAACCGGGCTATTTACATGATATTTATTTTATAAATCCCCGAATATGAATTACGTATAAAGTTTCGCAATTAAAATGTTCAATACATTCGAGCAAATAAATAAATGATTGCTTACGATATTGCGGATGTATTAACGGTACTAAATTTAATATTTATTTGAAAGATAAATTTTACCTCCGTTTTAATTGGAAAAGTATTTATGGAAATTATTTTATTGTTATTCTTTCTCTAAAGTTTTACGCACTTCGAGCGAAAATATATGATTTCAATAAATTAAAATGGATCATCTTACAGCAATTTATAATTTGATTTCCTAGGCTCGATCTAGTAAAATTATAATTCTTGATTTAATAAAAAAATAAATTATACAATTTTACTCTTCTGTTAAATAAAATCTATAAATAATAATAATAATGAAATAATTTACATAAACCGTTTTCCAATTAAAACGAAGATAAATTTTATTCTTCAAATAATACATTTATCAATTCTTTTTTAAATGAAAATTAGATGATATGTATTAAATTATATAAGTTGTCATTAAAAAAAAGAAATAATGCTTCGTATAATAATTAAAATTTGTTACTATAATAATATACATTTATATAGACATCAACCAGATTGAAACAAGTAGTCTCGTCAGTTAAAATTAGAGCAACAATATTTCCATTTCAAACTATTCCTTCAATCGAACGGAATTAATCGTCCCGATGCTAACGAGTTGACGAAACAAAGCGTAAAATATGCAGATAATAGTTCATTTTCAATCGAAATTAATTTACAATATAAAAAGTGGAATCTTCGACGTGTATCTGGTTCATAATACGTTAAACGTTTCGAGTATCTGGCCTTGATGTTACCTTGGTGTTTGTGGAAAATAAGCGTCCAACGGCAAGGCCGTCGAACACCGTGTTATTAATCACGCGGCAAAGCTCAAGCCGATAACAACGTGTCACTCCGTGTTATACCCATCGAAACGCGATTATTTCCTACGAACTATTAGCCCGATCATCATCTCGTGTGATTAACTCCCGCGATTAACGATTGTAAGTCTCTCGACAGTTTTCATCGATGCAAATATCTCACGCAATTTATTCATGTCACTCAGAATCGAATTAATAGGGGATGGGAATTATAAAGCGTTATTTATACGCGGACGATAATGACTTATTTAACGATGACACTAGATTCGAATACATCGAGGTTTGAAATATTCGCTGATTTAAACGTAAATTGCTCGTTTATTTCGGTTATAAATGCGGAGTATAGAGAGATATACTAAATTCTTATATAAATACATTATATATAACGCAATATTAACTTTTGATAGTAGATTTTCAGATAATTGCATTTTAATTAAGTTATTAATTCAACTTTATTAATCGCACTGTATTGCGTGTTTAAAATGATAATTTTTATTTTGCAACTTTTCAGTCATAAACGGAACGTCGCATGTACAAAATTGATTGCGAGTCAAGCAACATTTCAATGCGTTTGAGTAACGAGTACAGAGTTTGAGATTTCGTTCGTTGTGTCAATTTACAAGTTTCACGAGTGTCGAGCGAATCATGGAGTCTCGCGATCACGTTTCGATAAAATTTCAATTTATAATTTTGTAAAGTGCGCGTCGCGTGCAATTATCGCCGGGAGTGCCGTGCAATTATCATATTCTAATGGTTCATATAATTAGTCATGTTTTCGCGAATGTTGTAAGTGCAATGAGTGAATCTGAGAGAAGAAAATCATGGGGTGAGTAAATGGAGTAATGAGGTGAGTAAAAATTGATTAAACCGAGCGTTGAAGATGTTAATGTCTAATGGAGTAACTAATTATAAAGTATTGATTATGAAATATCGTTAAGATCTCTGATAATAATGATCTCCTTGGCTATGAATCGCACAACCTTGAGCAAAAATAACTGATATCGGAAAAAATAATATCTGAATTAAATTCCGATATTGTGCATCCAATATTATGCACCTCCTTACCATGTATAAACAAATAAAAATAGCACCGTCCTGCGTATAAGAAGATTAAAATAAGATCGCGAACTTAAAAAAGAAAATCAGCAGACATTAAAATAATATACGTGGGCAATAAATATACGAGAAATATCCAAAAAAGAGTTAACAGTCTGCTTCGCATGTTTAGATAATTAGCATTCGTGCTATGGTTTTTTGTGCACAACTTTTTGCATACATAAACATTTGCATCTAGATGTTGTTCGTATACCTAAATACCTACCGACTATGAAGCTGTCATTTGCACGCTACCTGGCCGCGACAGGTGCATTTGATACGCCGCGAAATCGGCGGGTAAACGCATAACGGCGGCGGACGCGGGCATCGCGCGCATAACCGACCGTCGAGAGAGAAGGAGAAAGAGACTCCTCGCTAAAGAGAACCCTTATCCTCCCTCGGAGAGAGGAGAGAAGCTCGCGATATAACACACATCGATCTGCCGTGGCGGCGTGTGCGCACTGGCTCGGCGCTGACGAGACGCTGCGCACCCGCGGCGCCGTGCCGCGCCGCGCCGCTCCGCTCCGGCCGCGGCCGTTTTCAGCGTGCCACCCCGTATAAAACCGTGACCGGGGTCACGGCGCGATACCAACAGGTGATGCCGAAGAAGGAGGAGGACACTCCCTCGAGCGGCATCTCGTCGAGCGTTTCCCACGGGTCCCGCCGCCGACGACAACGGTGATTTAATATCGCTCTCACGAGCCTATCGCTCGCCCTGTACCCTACGGATTGCCCGACTACCGCCAGGATCCATCTAGCCGGACTTCGCTGCCAGGATAAACACGCGGGGGTAGCATCCATTTAGTTCGGGCGGGATGCGGGAGGAAAGTCGGGCGAGAAACGTCGACGAGATACGCGGCGAAAGTTTCGATCGGTCGATGATTTAGTGGGCAGGCTGTTGGTATAGTGCTTCCCCGACTACGATTCTTCCGACGCAGCTTCCTTCCCGCGCGCGCCTGTTCTATCCGCGAGAGCACCGACGTATACTCGGGTCGGGATGTAGTTACGCGGTTGACACGAGCGCGGGATCGACGTGCGGGACGTGCGATGATCGAGTGTTCCCTTCCACGCGCTGGATTCTGACAAGGTGAGCGATTTTCAGATCTTTAGATAGTGGCGGGTGAAAAGCGATCTTTAAACGTGCATACGCGACAGCGACGATAGCTGAATCGAGCGAATAAATCTTTGAAATCCTTTAATACTCCGATTATTTCTAACTTCGACTCTGACTCTTAAATTTTGTAAGAAAGTTGTTGCAACTTGAAAATTTCTTATTCGTCTCATCGAGATATCCTGTTTTGACCTACTGCGTACGCTAGGCATTTATCAAATGGAAAATATCGACTGTGTAAATTGAAAATAAACTTTCCGAGAACAACTCGAGAGAATATCTATAAAAATAGATTCGCGTGTGTGGAGATACGAAATACGAGTGCAATGAGATTATATACGATTGCGAAGACATAGATCGAACGGCGCGCATACCTATAAGATGAGCGCAATAATAAAATTACAGAATTCTTTCCCAGAGATGATGACACACTGCATTGGTAGAAGTACATTAAAATCGTTTTACGGGAATACATAAAGGAATCCGAAGAGCATTGTAGCCAGACAGGATATTTCACTGTTCAACGAGCTGCACATAACGGACATCTTCACTTTATATATGAAATCATTGATTTCCTCTTGTCGCTCCGCATTCAGAGTCCGATTGCACGATACTCTGACTTATTAATAACCGAATCCCGATTTCAACACAATTTTTCTCTTCGGTTCGCTGGCCCCGATACGACTATCGAATATATAACCATCTGAGATGCCGTGAAGATTAATCTCGGTCAGCAATTTTATTTCTTCAACTACGTCGCTATTTTCAAACAAGCAAACACGCACAACAATATTATCACTTTAAGTAAGTACAATCGTTACGCATTGCTATAGAATGCAATAAATTAAATACACCAGTATCGATACTAGTATCTGTATTGCAAACAGTACGTTTGAAAATTATAGAAGGAGATTTGTGAAGATGACATCACGCATCCGACCTTAAACAGTCTGCATTGTCTGTAAAGTGCATTGCGTGAAAAAGCGTCTTTCGAAAATTTGACGGTTATATATCGCAAAATGACGAAAGTGAAATGACGAAGCGAGAGATACGGCACGAGCACGAATCGCCCTGGATATCACCGTGTTTTCTTAGTTCGCCCGCGCAACACGTGTCGGAATAAAAATAA